GGCACGGGGCAGTTGCCAGGTTAGGAATGGTCTTTCACCTTCAGGATTTTTAAGTAGGATAGAGGCTATCGGCCCAACCTGGCACTGCTGTGCAAAGGGTTCTCCCGCATTCTTGCGGCAGCTAGAAACACCTTTTCTTCTTTATCCTAGCCGTAGCCTGTGTTGTTGTTGACTCTGCCGAGTCCCTCCCCTGAGATTTTCTGGTGGGAGTTCTTCATGACCTTCACATTGATCTCCTGCGTCTACAATTGTTGCCTTGGGAAGCCGGGTCATGGAAGCTTTACGCCTTTGGCCGTGGGACTTGCGCTCTTTGCCTCCGCAGGGTCGGGTGGACAATTCACAGGCGCAGCGGCAAACATCTCAGCGGAGCCAACGTTGGCCGCTTTTCCGAGCATTTTTCCGGGAATCATACTGACAAGATCTGACGTGCTTGTGACATATCATGGACACAAACAGAAAAAGAGACATGGCGATCATGTGCTCTGGATGGTTCTTTGAGTATCTCCCACTTCGATCATCCAGGCTTTTTCTACCACCTAAGTCACCTAAGGTGTTCCCTTGAAAAGACCCACCTGACGTCAGGTGGCTCCTTGAACCCGGCACGCGTTCTGGGCCCTGCCGCGGTCTTCGGCTGCGGCGCGAATGTGACCTGGCTCTACGTGGGTGGCCAGTGCCTGGCGTCGATCTGCGCGATGGCGGTCTTCGGCTTGGTCTCACACTTGGGACCTTATCATCCCCGTACTTCAACCAAGACCTTTGAGCTCATGACCAATGAGGCGGGATTTGTGGCCTGGCGGGAAGAGCGTCCTTTTGGAAGAGGAGTCTTGAGGCTGAAAGGGGACGATGGTTTGGACATGTCACGAAAACTAGCTGTAGCTGGAGTCTGTCTTGCTTTAGCAAGGAGGGTGGGAGCCCAGGACCTGAGTGCTGTTACCTGATATATCAGGACTATACCCCCCCTCACCTACTCGCGGGGTTCAACTCCACCCTTCTCCTCCTCGGTACCTGCTGCTGCTG